GGGAAATGCCTAGGAATATATTAACTTTGGACGTTTTTACTGAACACAGTTTGGTCCTTGGACCTCGATCACTTCAGATATACCTGGAATGATGATGTACTCAATCCATCTACTCTGACTGATGGACTGAGTACATCGACTCCAAGCGGATGGACTGATTACCTCAATCTTCAACTATTCTCCTCTGTACTTATCTGAGGAAGCCACTGCCAAGCGAAATGTTTCCATCTTTTTATCCAAGGACCGAAAGGCGCTCAGTGAAGGTGTTCTCAGTGAAGGCGCCAGTGTTCACTTCCCTTACAAAGGTAGACAGGGAAGAGAGAGGTTTGCCTCTTAGTGTTCACTCTCACAAGACTGAGTCAGCTCACAGTCTGGTCGTAACGGGCGTGACCAGACTGGTTTCTCAGGGTTGCTGCCATTCTTTGGCACTTGGCACCCTCTGGGAGGCCACTCCAGGTTCCTTAACCGGAGGTTTGGTAAGCTGGTGGAAGAAGGATAGGTAAGGATAGTTTGTGGGGAAAAAAAGGGGGGGAACGCCACTCTCTTTTCTCAAACATGCCAGACAATACTATGTCATAGGATACAGGAGCTAGATATTAATATTGACCTCGGTTCACAGTCTCTTTGGCTTCAATATTATTTTTTATCAGGTCAACTCTGTCCTGTGTTTTTTGTTAGATGTTGTTATTGGAGTTACGGATGTGTTTGATGCTTATTATTGTTTATGTAAATGTGTTGTTGTTGGTGGTGGTGGTGGTGGTGGTGTTAGTGGTGGTGGTGATGGTGGTGGTGATGGTGGTGGTGGTGGTGGTAGTGGTGGTGGTGATGGTGGTGGTGATGGTGGTGGTGGTGGTGGTAGTGGTGGTGGTAGTGGTGGTGGTGGTGGTGGTAGTGGTGGTGGTGATGGTGGTGGTGGTGGTGGTGGTGATGGTGGTGGTGTTAGTGGTGGTGGTGATGGTGGTGGTGGTGGTGGTGATGGTGGTGGTGGTGGTGGTGATGGGTGGTGGTGGTGTTAGTGGTGATGGTGGTGGTGGTGATGTTAGTGGTGGTGATGGTGGTGGTGGTGATGTTAGTGGTTTTGGTGATGGTGGTGGGGTGATGTTAGTGGTTGTGGTGATGGTGGTGGTGGTGATGTTAGTGGTTGTGGTGATGGTGGTGGTGGTGATGTTAGTGGTTGTGGTGATGGTGGTGGTGGTGGTGGTGATGGTGGTGGTTTATGATGATGTTAGTGGTTGTGGTGATGGTGGTGGTGGTGATGTTAGTGGTTGTGGTGATGGTGGAGGTGGTGGTGATGGTGGTGGTGATGATGATGTTAGTGGTTGTGGTGATGGTGGTGGTGGTGATGTTAGTGGTTGTGGTGATGGTGGTGGTGGTGATGGTAGTGGTTGTGGTGATGGTGGTGGTGATGATGTTAGTGGTTGTGGTGATGGTGGTGGTGATGGTGGTGGTGGTGGTGATGTTAGTGGTTGTGGTGATGGTGGTTGTGGTGATGTTAGTGGTTGTGGTGATGGTGGTGGTGGTAGTAGGTGTTGAACAACTCTCCCGTTATGCAAGCAAAAATTAAGTGAGGCAGCAGGTACGTAAGATTCAGGTGAGGCATTAGGTTCGTAAAACACAGGTGAGGCAGTAGGTACGTAGGATCAGGATCATCTCTGAGGATCTTACTAATTGGCTTTCTTGTTAGTGTTAAGATCTTTCATCCCTACTCTCTAATAGAGAAGAGAGAGAGAGAGAGAGAGAGAGAGAGAGAGAGAGGAGGGGGGAGAGCCTCAACAACTGTTGCTCAAATTCACGATATACCAGTTCATTTCTCTCTCTCTTCCTCTCTCCTCTCTCTCTCTCTCTCTCTCTCTCTCTCTCTCTCTCTCTCTCTCTCTCTCTCTCTCTCTCTCTCTCTCTCCTTCCCACTTCAGTCCCCTTTACAGAGACTTTCTCCCTGTTCTCCCTCATTCTTTCTTCCTCCTTCATATCTGTCTCTTACCCTACGCCCTCCGTCTCCCTATTTCTGCCTCCAACTTTTTCTCCCAATTTTCCCCTCGTCTCTCCCTATCCTCTGCTACTCTGTTCGCCTCATCGTCCTCCTATCCTCCAACTTTCTAACACTAGTCATTGCCACAGCCGCTGTTGCTACAGCAGTAGCTGTTGTAGACGCAGTTGCTACAGCAGTAGCTATTGTAGACGCAGTTGCTACAGCAGTAGCTGTTGTAGACGCAGTTGCTACAGCTGTACCTATTGTAGACGCAGTTGCTACAGCAGTAGCTGTTGTAGACGCAGTTGCTACAGCTGTACCTATTGTAGACGCAGTTGCTGCAGCAGTAGCTATTGTAGACGCAGTTGCTACAGCAGTAGCTATTGTAGACGCAGTTGCTACAGCAATAGCTGTTGTAGACGCAGTTGCTACAGCAGTAGCTATTGTAGACGCAGTTGCTACAGCAGTACCTATTGTAGACGCAGTTGCTGCAGCAGTAGCTATTGTAGACGCAGTTGCTACAGCAGTAGCTATTGTAGACGCAGTTGCTGCAGCAGTAGCTATTGTAGACACAGTTGCTACAGCAGTAGCTGCTCTAGACGCAGTTGTAACCTTCAGCTGCCTCTCTCTAAAAGGGTTAAAAAAAACGCAAAAAAAAAACTACCCTAAGTGAACTCAGTTTAATCAGCATCTTGTTTTTCATGGTGTTTTTGTGTGTGTTTTTTCTTCATGTCTGTATTTACAACAGCAAAATCAAATGTTACATTAGATGCAACTGTGTCTACTGAGCTGACCTTGATGTTTATTTTGGTTTTAATTGAGGTTACAACACTACCAGTGTTTCTTCTATTTGTGATCTAAGATGCGTCGTAACTCACTTCTTAAGTCGTTCACGTTCACGTTCACGTTCACTCTAGGCCACATCTACATCTTAGTCTTCTTACTACATATATATATATATATATATATATATATATATATATATATATATATATATATATATATATATATATATATATATATATATATATATATATATATTTCTTCGTGAGTTTTTTCCTTTTATTATTTCTGGCTCTTATCCACCTTGCAGTTTATCGAAAACATTTGGGTGGTGGGTTATGGCTGCGGTGGTGTCAGGGATGTGACATTGAAGTGCCTTATGCGTGACACTGAGTGCCACATGCGTGACACTGGGTGCCACATGCGGGGCTGCCGCTGACGCCCTACGCCTTGAGACAACAAGGGAGGCTGCTGCTGGCGGCAATTATAAAGTCGTTAGCTCAATTAATGTGGGATTAATGTGTTGCTGCAAGACGTACACAACCCCTGACGTCAACAGACGTTCGGGGAGGCTGAGGTGGGGGTGGAGCAGTCTGGCGGACGATCGCCAGACTGACGAAGGATGGAGAAGACGAGCGGAGGAACGTTAGTCAGAGAAAGGGGTGTAGATTACCTGGGCATTTGATCGCCAGATGGAAGAAAGCTGTACATTAACAAATAAAGGATCGCCAGACAGGAGAAGAGACGCCAGTTACCGTCTACAGTCACTCCCGAGAGGGTCGTCTCTGACTCTAATTTGACGTGAGGCATCTTAATTTACACTCCTTGTTTGTTTATCTTTCCTCTTCTTCCTTGGCTTTGGTTACACTGTGTCTCCTCTCTTCCTGCTGCCATCTACCGCCATCCGTTGCTACTCCAGTACCACATATTGCCCTTCTGGTGCTACTTACAGGCTCTCTGGGGCCATGGAATGCTACTAAGTGCTTATAATGCCTCTCTGGCGTTAACTGCTACCTCTAGTACCACCTAGATCACCCCTAGTGGTACCTATTGCCACTCCAGTACCACCTTGTGCTGGAGATAAGTGGGATACAACACAGACACTGAAAAAATACACACAGATGCAGTATAATGCGAGCTTTTATCAACACATATCGTCCACACAGTGGGGCTTTATTAAGTCAAACTATTTGTGACGTGATAAAGCCCACTCTATGGGCGAAATGTCGTCAACAGAGAATCACATTATACTGCAATCGTGTCTGTTTTGCCACCGCCTTGCGGTACAGAGTCTCGGCAGGGAATCAGCGGAGCTGTAGAAATGACTCGAGGAAGACTTGCCAATCACTATCAGCTTCAGAGACCGCTCAGGCGACCTTGCTGGGTCCGTGTTAGAGTATCTTCATTGAGGAATAATTATCAGATGGTTGAGCGAGTGGCAGATCCTCAGAAGGTGATCGTTGGGTCGTGGAAGCTGATGGCTGTTAGTGTCAGCAGTCAGAAGGAGCAGTAACTGTTGTTGACTATGTTATCTCAGTGGTAATAGACTTACTTCTTCCTTATATTTTCCTTCTTTCTTCCTTCTTTCATCCTTCTTCATTCTTTCTTCCTTCTTCATTGTTTCCTTCTTTCTTCCTTCTTTCTTCCTTCTTCCTTCTTCCTTCTTTCTTCCTTCTTTTAACCCTTTTTTTATTTGTCTTCTTTGCCTGTCCATTTGTCTTAAGTAGACAGCAAGGACTTTTAAAAAAATAATTACGGGGGACCGATTCTGATGTCACACACCTGTCTATTCGACTGAAGACGTCTGCTACGTAGGCGAAACGCTTAGGAAATAAAATATATTAAAGTATTCCATGAGTGTTTTTCTTCTCCTCGAAACTGTTATCATGTCAGGTGATTTTTTTAATAACGTGATAGAAACGTTGGATGACTTGTATTAGGTCTGCATGGTCCAGTGGTTAGAGCTTGGCACTGGCTCACCGTGGGTTTAGACCACACTCTGTTCTGTTAATAATGATGGTACTAATGTTCCCTGCAGAGCGTTCATAAGAACATAGGAAAGGAGGAGCACTGCACAAGGTCTACTGGCCCATACTAGGCAGGTTCTTCTCAAACCTTAAACCCACTAACAAAAAGTATTTTCCCAGCAAATTTTGAGTGTTACCCAAGGAATAGGCTTCGATAACCCTACTAACTTATGTGCAAGTTCTGGTAGGAAGAATCTAACCTGTGTTCTTGTCCCCCCCAGGTGTGGTTCCAGAACCGTCGGGCCAAGTGGAGGAAGAGGGAGAAGGCACTGGGGCGTGAGAGCCCCTCCTTCATGGGAGTGGACCACCCCCTGGGCACCATGCCCGACCTGCCGCTGCCTCTGGCACCGCCACCACATTCCGTCGCCGCCTCCGCCGCCGACCTGCTCCATCTGCACGCTCTCCACGCCCTCCACCTCCACCCTTTCCTGCACCCTTCCCACGCCCCAGGTCTGCATCCCAAGGGTCCTCCGCCCCTGCACGCCCTCCTGCACCACTACATGCTGCCTCCGGGGCTGCCCCTGCTGCACCCTGCCTCCAGTGTAGCTCAGGGTATCCACCTCCCTATGATGGCCACCTCCACCGCCGCCTCCGCCAGCCCAGACGCCTCCCCTGCCCACTCCCCGCCCATCACCACCGCCACCGCCACCACGCCCACAGGAGCCCCAGCATCCCCGCCCACAGGATTGCCGCTGGACTGCCGTGGAGCCTCCGTCGACCTCCTGCGACTGAAGGCTCGGCAACACCAGGCTCTACTGGAGCGCCTCTCACCTCCCTCCTCCAGTGTACACGCCTCCTCCTGAACATACACGCCAGGCTACATCCACCTCCACGACCAGTCTTGGAGCGCCTCTCTCTCACCCACGTAGTGGAGAGACCGTGGACTCGTTTCCCAGGACGAACGGAGACATATGGGCAAGTCTCCCTGCATTCGCAACCCTTTGTCACCCAGCAGTATATTGTTACCTAGGAACTAGTCAGGTGTCTGGGGTTGTAACCTGGAAAAGGGCACCTAAAAATCTCAACAGGAAAAATAATCCACGTTGCTTGACTTTCCCGAATTATCCTGGGATAATAACTTTACCAGGATCGTAGGTCATTGGTTCAGGGAACCGATAAGTTGATAAATTAGACACATGTGTAGCACTTGGGTATGTTTATTGACGAGACGTTTCGCCACACAGTGGCTTCATCAGTCCAATAGAAAGGAGAATAGTGAAGATTAGGAGTGTGATTTAATCAGTCCGTCAATCTTGAAAAGACTGATGGATTGATTATATCGACTCCAGGCTGAGGGACTGAGTACCTCAAACTCCTTCTGATCTCACCATTTTTCTTTGTACTGGACTGATGAAGCCACTGTGTGGCGAAAGGTTTCCTCAATAAAGATACCGGAGTGTTGCACACGTGTCTAATTTATCTCCCAGGATTGTTAACCCAAAGAACAAATTAATCGCCCACGTCACACAACATGCCCCTGCAGTAGCTACTGCAGCAGCAGTTTATGAACACGAAGGAGCCCCTGGTGTTACCTGTTGCTGTGTTCAGTGTTCATGCGCCTGCATGAGCTCCCTTATACATGTTCTTAGTTGTGTCGCAAACTACAGTAAATTCTGGCAAAGTCCTTAGTTGGGGCTGGTGATATCCTCGTTAGCAGCTGATGAAGTTTTAAGTTACAGCAGCTTACTGTAGAACCTTAGAACCCTTGGTCGTTAAGCGAGGTTCAGCTACCGTGGTCGTTAAGCGAGGTCCAGCTACTGTGGTCGTTAAGAGAGGTCCAGCCACCGTGGTCATTAAGCGAGGTCCAGTGGATGTACTGGGTGTCTCCCAGGAAGACTGCACCCGATGGCGTCCGATTTTGTGATGGTAGCGCCAATGATATGAAGATGAGGCAAAGATAAGTAGCCAGTCATATTCCCGGTAGGACCAGGACGACCTCGGAATCACCTTCATCACTCGTCTTAATAGGGAGGTCTCAACAACAAGTTTTCTCGCAATCAAGAGGACCAGGTAAAGGTGTGAGGAGTGAAGGTAGAGGCCACAATCCTGTTGCAGACATCACCCTCCTGTTGCAAACATTACCCTCCTGTTGCAGACATCACCCCCTGTTGCTAACATCACCCTCCTGTTGCAAACACCCTCCTGTTGCAAACACCCTCCTATTGCAAACATCACCCTCCTGTTGCAGACATCACCCCCCTGTTGCAAACATCACCCTCCTGCTGCAAATGCCACCTTTCTGTTGCAAACGTCATCAACCCATCAACACAGACGCACCTCCTGGCGCAAACGTCACTGATTAAAGGCATCTTTCTGACGCAAAACAAGTTCCTTCTGACGTAGACGTCACACCCCTTCCCTGGCAGGCATCCCCTCCCTCACTCCCTGACGAAGACAATCTCCCTGCTGGTGCAGGAATCACCCCTCAGTCGGCTCCCTTCAAGTCATTCCGAGTGTGTCTTCCGGGTGTGCCAGAGAGGACGGCAACGAGATCTTTAATAACCTCTTCATCAACCTATCATTTTGTCAGATCAGTGGACAGTCTGCATGTGCCTGAGGACCCCTTCCCTGCCCTCTGTTTACCTGCTGCCCTTGGCCCTTCTTCCTACCCTGAGTAAGACCCGTTCCTCCCTGCTCTGTCGATCGGGGCTTTGGATCCCTTTTCCTCTGCCCTTGTCCCCCCCCCCATCCCGAACTCACATTCTTTATTGACAACTATTCAGCCAATCTGGCCAATTTGTCAATAGATTAACGATTTTGAACCTTGGAGGAGAGGAGCGGGGAGACCAACTTTGCTTTCAGCCTCGGGTCAATTTTTGCCCTTATTGGCACACGGCCCAGAGCCCAAATTGGCCATTTAAACAACCTTTATTGACACTAGCCAGCAAACCCAGCTAATTTACGAGGCTCACGGGACACTGATGCTAATTAATTAAGGCGGTAAGGTCGTAATTGACGTGGCGGGAGTGGCCCAGAATATTAGGCCGGGTTTATTTACTCTCTCTCGACAATACACTCTCAGCCTCGCTAAGTTTCCAGGACCCACGATTTATTTCTGCTGTGTGTGTGTGTATGTGTGTGTGTGTGTGTGTGTGTGTGTGTGTGTGTGTGTGTGTTCGTATACATGGAGCGTCTGCCGCTCTGTGTTCAGTGTTCATCATCCACACGGCAGGCAGTTGTAAGCTACTGCCGTGTCTTTGTGTGGAGCGTCTGCCTGTCTGCCATTCCTATTGGTTATTCCTAAGGCAGACAGTTGTAAGGTGTTGAAGATCACACATCAGAGGCTGGAGAGGTACATCAGAGGCTGGAGACATACATCAGAGGCTGGAGAGGTACATCAGAGGCTGGAGACGCACATCAGAGGCTGGAGAGGTACATCAGAGGCTGGAGACATACATCAGAGGCTGGAGAGGTACATCAGAGGCTGGAGACGCACATCAGAGGCTGGAGAGGTACATCAGAGGCTGGAGACGCACATCAGAGGCTGGAGAGGTACATCAGAGGCTGGAGACATACATCAGAGGCTGGAGAGGTACATCAGAGGCTGGAGACGCACATCAGAGGCTGGAGAGGTACATCAGAGGCTGGAGACGCACATCAGAGGCTGGAGAGGTACACCAGAGGCTGGAGACGCACATCAGAGGCTGGAGAGGTACATCAGAGGCTGGAGACGCACATCAGAGGCTGGAGAGGTACATCAGAGGCTGGAGAGGTACATCAGAGACTGGAGAGATACATCAGAGGCTGGAGAGGTGCATCAGAGACTGGAGAGATACATCAGAGGCTGGAGAGGTGCATCAGAGACTGGAGAGGTACATCAGAGGCTGGAGAGGTACATCAGAGGCTGGAGAGGTACGTCAGAGGCTGGAGAGGTACATCAGAGGCTGGAGAGGTGCATCAGAGACTAGAGAGGTACATCAGAGGCTGGAGAGGTACATCAGAGGCTGGAGAGGTACATCAGAGGCTGGAGAGGTGCATCAGAGACTGGAGAGGTACATCAGAGACTGGAGAGGTGCATCAGAGACTGGAGAGGTGCATCAGAGACTGGAGAGGCACAAACACACTGGGCCTCGCAGTTTTCTCAGCGAAATGAAGCTTCCTTAACTTTTCTGGTTAAGAACGTGCGAGTAAGCTAATAGTGGTGGGCTGGGGTTGGCGTGTTCAAGTTGGCGGTGGTAGCCAATTGACCGAGGCTCCGTCAACACCGCCAGTGTTTGCCCTCCTGCTGGACCCGTCCCCTCCCTCTTTCCTGCCTCAGCCGGCCTTATCTTCTTCTTCCCCCTCCCCCTCCTCCCCCCTCCCCCTTGTCTCCCTCCTCCTTCTCCCTTTCCTGCTTCTGCTGTTTACTGGCTCTTATTATGTCTTTTTTTTCCCTCCCCCCTCTCTCACTGTTTCTGTCTGCTGTCTCTTACTGTCACTCTCTCTGTTTGATGCTGTTTCTTCCTGTCTGCTGATGCTGCTTCTCCATCTGATGATGACTTATGGTGACGATGATAGTGACTGTTATGGTGACGATGATAGTGACTGTTATGGTGACGATGATAGTGACTGTTATGGTGACCATGATAGTGACTGTTATGGTGACGATGATAATAACTGTTATGGTGACCATGATAGTGACTGTTATGGTGACGATGATAGTGACTGTTATGGTGACGATGATAGTGACTGTTATGGTGACGATGGTAGTGACTTATGGTGACGGTGATAGTGACTGTTATGGTGACCATGATATTGATTGTTATGGTGACGATGATAGTGACTGTTATGGTGACGATGATAGTGTCTGTTATGGTGACGGTGATAGTGATTATGGTGACCATGATAGTGACTGTTATGGCGACCATGATAGTGACTGTTATGGTGACGATGACAGTGACTGTTATGGTGACCATGATAGTGACTGTTATGGTGACCATGATAGTGACTGTTATGGCGACCATGATAGTGACTGTTATGGTGACGATGACAGTGACTGTTATGGTGACCATGATAGTGACTGTTATGGCGACCATGATAGTGACTGTTATGGTGACGATGACAGTGACTGTTATGGTGACCATGATAGTGACTGTTATGGTGGCGATGATAATGACTGTAATGGTGACGATGACAGTTATTATTATGGTGAGGATGTGAAGGTGAGAGTGAGTTTATTTACATCGATAGTGATAGTGAAGGTGACAGTGACTCTCAAAGACACTGCTTGAGTGGGTTACCTCCACTTCCTCGGATCAAGGTAGAGGGTGGGGGAAGTCTGTGGCGTTCCCACTCGATACGATTGTCACCATGTGAAGCGCTAAACTCGTGTGGGATCATTCGATATATGAGGAGGAGGGTGTTGAAGGCTCGATCCTCCCGGCCACTAATCTCTCTCTCTCTCTCTCTCTCTCTCTCTCTCTCTCTCTCTCTCTCTCTCTCTCTCTCTCTCTCTCTCTCTCTCTCTCTCTCTCTCTCTCTCTCTCTCTCTCTCTCTCTCTCTCTTCATTAAGTGATTCCATTCCTCTCATCCACTTCTTTCTCCCCTTCTCTTCCCCTTCTCCTACCCTCAATCTCTTCTTTCTGCTCCCCTCTTTCTCCTCCATTCCCCTCATCCACCTTCCCTCCATTTCTCCTCCACTCTCCTCCACTTTACCGCCTCCATACTCCTCCCAGCTGGCTCTTCCCGGTTTCGATGGAACAATCCTACAAATTTGTTCAGCTCGTCCTGGTCTCGATGGAACAATCGTACACACCTGTTCAGCTCACCCTGTTCTCGATGGAACAATCCTACACACCTGTTCAGCTCACCCTGTTCTCGATGGAACAATCCTACACACCTGTTCAGCTCGCCTTGGTTCCGATGGAACAATCCTACACATTTGTTCAGCTCGTCCTGTTCTCGATGGAACAATCCTATACAGCTGCTCAGCTCGCCCTGGTCTCGATGGAACAA